CCCCCCCCCTCCCCCCGATCGTTTGTTTTGTAATTACTACAAAGCGAAATTTATTATATTTAATTATGTACTGACAAATTTATTCAATATTTTCTTTTTTATATCTATCATTACGTAATATTTGTTTTCCAATTGTTTCTTTAATCCTGATTGTTTTTTGTGTGCATGGAATTGGGATTTTCCTTAAATGTCCCACTATATATATATATATTTTCACTTCCATTGTGTAAAGCGACGGTTAAAAATTGTAGATTTATTATTAAATTTTCATTTGTTTTTGAAATGTTTATCTTAGAACGTGTTGGCAACGTTTATTTAAAGAAAAAAAAAAAAAGAAAAAAAAGAAAAAAAGAAAAAAAAACGCATTCGATATTATAAATATACGTTAATCATTGTGCCGCGTTTCCGTAGTAAATTTCCCATGCGATACGTTTTTATTTTGTGAACGGTAAGCTAGATAATATGCGGTTAATGTGCGTTTTTTAATTACTATTCAAGCTTTTCTAAGCATGTAGCTAAAGCATTTTGTAGCTTGTGTTCGACGATTATTTGCCATTTATATGGAATTGGCAGCTCATGTGCATTATGATAGTGTATGCCCATGTAACGAGTGTGATTGATAACGTTAGAAATTTTGAGAAGTTTATCGATATAGCGAGGAGGAGACGTTATGCTATGACGAAAAGGGGAAAAGCAAAAAATCGGGCGTCGATTAATTTTTGTAAATAGAAATTATTGAAATGAATATAGAAGTACGCACACGGAAACACGAGAAGCTAAGAATGTGTGAAATGCCGGAGATATCGGGACATGTATCAGCTTCAAATTATATATACGTATACATGTATGCATAAACAATATCAATAATGGCGATTAATAAGCTGTATTATTACTACAGTAATTACCACTATCTCGCAACGGCAGTGAACGACTAATTTTATTACCACGTAATCTTAAACGATGCCAGTGAGAAGTGGATGTGTTCTTCGTGATGTGACAAAAATCGGACAAGAAGATGTGTGAAAAATCGCTAATGAATTGTTTCATTCGCTAATTTATAAAGACAATTTAAAGGTGTCGAGGATGCTTTTCGAAGATATTTTGTCTATTTCGTACATGTCTACAAACACAAAGGCGGAAGATGTCTAAAGATTTTGAGTGAGGATACTCTATTATATTGATGGGATGACGATTGTTCATTTTTAACGTGCTTTTGTTATTAGTGGATTCGTTTTCTTTCCACTTACGAAACTAATAATCTATTAAAGATTAAAAGAAAAAAAAAAAACAAGAAGAAGAAGATTAATGTACATAGAAATTAAATTGTTTGAGTACTATTCCGATGGATTCTGTGTTTACGCTAGCAAGCGTAAGAATACAAGAGGTGGAGAGCGGTTTGCATCCTAATGGTGAAAAAACACGAGACTGAAAGACACACCGGACCATAAAAATTTAACGCATTAAATTCACGTAATATAAATGACATGATTTCATTAGTTTCGTCAACAAATGTGCACCTCTCTCCCCTATGTAATACATTTCTATTGTACTTGTAAGCTGTGATTGAAATCCTATCTTTTAATTCGTAATCACTAGCT